CATATTGAACAATATTTGAAAATCTATTAAGTGTTTAATACGTATTAATAAATCTGTTGCCATTTAAAAAAACTTAGATAGTTTTCTCATTCAAAACTATGCAAATTGCTTCGATGATAGCACACGCAGTTAATTTCTGAACCTATATTGCAGATTAAAGATAAAAACTTTAAAGCCGATTTGATCAGTTAGCTGAACTTTCAACGTCGTTATTTATTAATAATTTTGCTTATTGAAATTATACAAATATTTCTTTGAGTTTACTCGGAGAATCACCAATGTGATTTTATTCCAGGAATCTTGTGGAAAAACCTAAAGTAATTAGGTAAAGAAGGCTGCAGACTGTAGAAGATGAAGAAGGATCACAGATGAGCTTAGTGAATATACTGTCGTAAACCATATTATAAAGATGTACTACAATAATGCCCTGTGAAAAATGCCGAATTTTTTCACTTTTTCCAGTGTTGTAACTAAAGAGAATTATAAATGAGAAGCAAGCACATAAGCTTGGATGAATGGCATAAAATATAAAAAATCAGCGACTTCCATCAAATTTTATATTGAACCAAAAAATCTCTTTGTACCATCATTCATTCACCTTTTCCTATTGGCAAATTAGCTATAAGATAAAATGAAACATATAAAATTGAGAAAAAAAAAGGAGCTTTGTTAAGTTGAAAATTAAACCATAGAATAGAGTCTTATTCAATATTTCCGATATTTTGGAAGAAAAAGTAGCGAACCGAAAAATTTGATTGCAACCTGGATAATGGTAGCTAGAAATGCTTTTCCTAAAACCTTTATGAAGTCTTCGCGAAATCACCAACAAAACGATATTCGCGTATGTGTAGGTGTGCAATGCTCGATCTTGCTATATGGCCAAGGAGAGTGGACGATTAAGAAGTTTTATAACTTGACCACCACTCTAAGATAAATTTTACGGCTTCGTCGAATAAATTCCCACATTCATCTTCGCTCAAGTACCGCCTGCAACAATACCATTACAAAGCGCCGCTTTCACTGCTTAGGATGTTCTTCACCACAATAATTAACACATATTCCCTTACTAGCAAAACTCTATAATGAATGGCGTTAAAAGCAAGGAAGGCCAAAACCTGGACTGATACAATCAGAAAAGATTTTGAACATTTATTCCGACTACACTAGCAATATATGAAATTAGAAGATGGAAAAAGTAAGGCTTTTATTAGTTAGAAGAAACGGCAAAGGGAAAGAGAAAGTAGTTTCCGAGGAATTTGTGCAATATTTGGCAACTTTTCATTAATTTGAACTTCTCTAAATATGCAAATATGCCAGGTTTCTAAAACGGATATTTTATATCCGTAAAAAAGTGATTAAGAGTTTTAATTCTGCAAGAGAGCCATTATTTAGCTATTTCTTTCAATTTATAATCGTTGAAATACGTAAAAGCCTTTCACATATTACACTACATTAATTTATGTGCATGAGAGAAAAAAAAAAATTCCTCTCTTTCAGCCATCCACACTAACACCAGTTCGGCTCTTTATACACATAAAAATAATAGAAGATCTCGATGATTCCAGTTTTCTCAGATAGCACTAGAAAACATATTTTCTGTTAGTGGGATCTGATGACATCAAACATCATCTTTTTTTTAAAGAACTAAATGAAATGTAAAAACAATAAATGTAGCTGAAGGAAATGGAAAGCACTGATGAATTTCATTGTAGCACGCGTTAATTATTATAATATGTAAATGTGATTGATACATATGCTTACAGTAGATTTAAATTATTGAAAATTAGATATAAATTTTTTGCAAATTTAACTGTCCTATGTAATTTAAATGTAAATATATAAATACATTATTTATATAAATACATATTTAATGTATGTACATTAATAACAATTTAAATTTTTAAATTGAAATTTTTAGTCAGTCAAATTACTAATCTTCACTGATTTTGCAAATGCAAGTACAAATATAAAATAATAATAAATACAACGAGTCAAGCGTCAATGGCCCACGGATTTTCACTTAAAAAGTGATCCACAACCTAAAATTAGTTATTATTAATCTAATCCTTAATCAAATTATTAATCACATCGTAAAAAATTCATCAACCGGGAAAAATGCAAGAGTGCTGATATGCACTACTAATTTTGGCCTAACCTGGATTAAATACTGGAGAAAAACAATTGGAGTACAGTCCAGAAACCATTATTATTTTCAATATACTATGAAATTTTTCAAACCTTATATTTTCCTTATATTTTTATCATCATTAAAGAGCCACATTTCAAAAATTTAAAAATTATAAAAAATTTTCTCATACGTCGTTGAATTTACCTCTTTCATTGCTAAATTCGGAATAAGCTGATCGGCGGTTAATGGAGCTCTTGTAACAGGATCAAAATGACCAACTCGTTGAAGATGTTCTTTTATATCTGCTCGATCATAAGTAATTCCGCTCGGAGTTATTACAGGATCTCGCAGAATTTCAAAACTAATTTTGCCACATAGATAATCAGGAATTTCACGCTTGCGCCTACGATCATCGACCTGCACTAATGTTTCTCAAAAAAAACTTTATAAAGCTTTAAAAATACCAAAGTTTAGTCCGTAAAAATTCTAGAAATCCTTAAGAACGATACCGAATGACCAGTAAAAAGAAAGGTCTACCTGGGCGAAAAGATTGTTTAGCTTCTCTTTATTTAAAGCTGTCTCTGCTCTTAACGTTTGTTCCTCTGTTTCTTCATCTTCCATAGAAACATCTGTAACGTCATCTTGAATTAAATTAGAACTATCACACTTTTCGCAACTGCTTTCCTCACGATTTTCACGTAATATCTTTGATTTTCTCTCAAAATCCTCATCGATCAAATTGTTTAGATATGACTGGAGCTCTATTTCCTGTCTGATTCTGAAATAAATTCATACATAAAGATTGCTAAAATTACCAAAAAAAACCGCAAATAAAAAGCACTATCTCGAACTTGTTACAACTACTTCAATTTACATCGAACATCATAAATTAGATTCCCCGTACCGATCGAAATAAACCTATCGTTAGAAAATCGGGGTGTTACTGGCGAATCTATCGTCAAATGATTCACGCGCAAATTTTTAAAAAAATTCTAACCGTACTAATAGTCGATCAGCCGAAGCAGACAAATCAGAAACGGTGAGCAGTAACCATATACTTTTATTTATTACACAAATTATGGAGAATAATAAATCATTATTTAAAAATCATTGTAATCAATTTTTTTGGCCAGAGTCGAAATTTCAAGTGGTCCAGAGAAATGCTTCCTCTCAGTCTACTATAAAAGAAATATTATTTTTTGGATACCTAAAGCAATCAATCAGAAAAACCTTTTTTCTTCTTCTTTACGAAAAATTTCGCGCTTTGCTAATCTTATCTGTGCTGTTATTTCGTCACCATAATTGAGCTTCTGGTACACAGCCAGTTCATTGGCTCGTGTAAGCACTTTAATCGCTTCCTCACATTGTCCCAGATGAATACACGTCCTTCCCAGAAAATAATTGGCCTAAAAAACATATTTCAAATTTTTTGGTGGATAAGCTTGGGTATAATATAAATAAAGAAATGTTATTGCCTTAACGTTTTTTCGATCTAATTCTAATGCCTTCCTGCAATCGTTTGCCGCATTTTCCCACTGCATCTTTTGCATATAACATAGGGCTCTGTTCGTAAAATATGCTGGCACTGTTGGATTGTGAATTATCGCTCTAAAAATGATATCATTTATAAATATCATCAATAATGTCCTGACTAAATCAAAAACTAGATTTACAAAAAAGTAAAAAAAATCAACAATATTCCACTAAATAAAAACAAAGCAATGTAAAAAAACCGAATTATTTTATCTAATTTAAAGTGGAAATTTAAATTCTAGTGCAAGAAATTTGGTAAATGAAAGTTTGATTAAACTAAATTGATTAAATTAAATTAATTAAATTAAGTTAAAAAATCATGCAAAATGTTGAATACAAAACTTTTCAACATCCATTACTAGAATATAATAAAGCCTTTATTCTTCCAAATTTTGTGAAATTGAAAATTAATTAAAGGCATATTTTGCAAACTGTCCAATCTGACAGAATTATTAAACGCGAGTTAAAACATGTTATAAACATGTTATATGAAAGAATAAACACAATATGCCTGCAAAATTTTATATGGCCACAGTACGTTTTTTTTCTATGAACATTTTCACACTTTCTAGCCAAGTTCACTAGGCTTGCGAACCACAAAAATTTTATTAGAGAAGCAACGCTATCATCATATCACAAGAATTTTTAAAACAGCAGGATGGAACCACCGAAAATGAAAACAATCACCAATTTTATCTCATTCTACCTCTTAATAGCTTAGATTAAATTACATCAAAATTTATACTTCATACTGAACTCAGATTTTATCCTTTTACATTAAAAATAGCTGGAATAAATTATCTTAATTTGCAATCTAAGCACCACCTACATTCATTTTTCTAAAGGAAGATAAAACCACTTAGAAAATCATTTAACAACTCTTTTTAAAAATTTTTACCTGACAAGTTCTTTTCACAATGTAAATTTCAATCTAATAATTTCAATTTCAATCTAATCTAATTTCATTCTAAATAGAGTGGCATGATTCGCGCGATTCCTCAAACTTGACATAAATAAATTGAAAAAAAAGGATTCAGGTGATGTTGGCGACCACTTCGCAGTTTCCCCAAACAAAAATTTCTGACTATATGAATAATAAACCTAACTAAAAAGAAATGGATAATGTCGGCACTTCTCTTTTTATTAAATTTATTACTGTATATTGCATTTTAATAAGCTAAAAATCGAAAAGCATCGATAAACCGAACAACGGAAAAAACCCACGGAAAAAAAAGAAAGTAAACCTAGGATGTCAAGAACCAATATTCGTTCAAGCAGTATTTTTTCATTTTTTTTGTCTGACTTTCTGTTTGCTGTTTTTAACCAGCTTTTTGTCCTGCTTTGTTCAATGTTCAACATTCAAATAAATAATGGCAACCTATTATAAGCATTGATTGCTTCATCAAATTTGTGTTGTTGAAAATAACGATTACCCGCTTCTTTAAGTTCTTCCGCCATTTGAGACGACATTGTAGGATCGGATAACAAAAATAAAGAAAAATTATGAAAATAACTTTTGGCTCTGAAAAAGACCAATAATTTTTAGTTCAACCTATACATGAAAATAATGACTTTCCTTTCTAATAACTTAATAACTCTGCAAACAAATTTCCCGATTATATTTAAGCGCTTCAATAGGTTTTTAAAAGAATCCATAACCTCAGCCAGATCTTCAAAAGGATTCTTAGGGAACGTTTGACTCCGCACCTTTCATACTCCTCAGACTTTGGTTTGGCTGACTTAACACTGCCTTCGCTATAATCATTTTGGGTAGGAAAAATTCCCTCTTCTGATGGCGAGTACCACAAAGCAGGTTTTTCTTCCATGCTAACTTAAAATTCGCAAGCAAAAAAATTCAGTCAAACAATCAAATCAAAATACATTTCGAACATACGATGCAAATATATCAACATACTTCACTTCACTTCACTTGAAAAACAATGTCAAATATCGAGATACTCGAAATTATTTCATTTAATTTTACCACGCAAATTCCCATGCCACGTTAGTTTACCATGAAACGCCATCTAGGTTAAATTACAATAGTAATATGAAGAAAGACGACCTCGCTCCCCGGAGGGCTCAACGACAGTCACCATGCCTTCAGAAAAGATTACGTAATCGACTAATAAAATTGAGATAAAACTTTCTTCTGCCCCAATGCAAACATTTCTTCGTTTCAAGACCCTCTTATTCAAAATCTTCAATTCTTACAGCACTCAATTAATTTCATCAATTTATCAATTTATATTTGTAAATTTGCACCTTACACTTTTGTTGGAAGCTCTGAAATGAGTAAATTTATATTTGGATGTCCTTGATTTTAATTTAATTTAATTTATTTATTTTAATTTAATTTTAACCTTTAATTTATTTTGTTAATCAAATCAAACTCAGAAAATTCTTATCATTAAATTGTATCGCCTATCCTTTATTATTTGCAGTATAAGTAAGGAATCAACTCAAAAAAATAAGATTTTTAGAAGAAAATGGAGTGGAAATAGTCATAAACTTCTCTACCGAAATATTAAAGAAATCAACATTGGTGATAAGGCCTATAGGAGTTATCAGTATTTCTAAGGATGATAACGATTATGGCAATCGTCTTCTTTATGCTTGAAATCGGTTGTCCGTTTGGAAATCCAATAGGCTTCTGCAACAGGTTCAGATGGCTCAGGAAGTTGGGCGATAATCTTCTCTTTTTTCGAATATCATCTGAACATCGCCTATCAGAATTCTTCGTAATTCTACGACCAGGCTTATAACTATACTTAATTAAGATAACTACTGGCCTTGTCGTAGTGATTTTCCGGCAATTCAGGACGAAGTCAGTCAACTGCCTTATCCGGAAAGGCACTTTTAGCATTAGTCGTGTGGTATCTTATTAATGACTGAATAGCTTTGGCTCGTTTTAAAGGTAATTTTTGCAAAATGTTTTCAATAATTAAGCTCCTTTGTTGTGAATGGATGATCTGGACAAAGCCAATTTTTATGCAGTTTCCTGTAGCCACATCGCTTCCAAGAAATTACGTATCCCGGAAGAATGAAATGCGCCAATGAGATGCTGTGACCGATGATCGTTACACTGGGACTCAGTGTCCTGATGGGAAAATGGCCTATTTTTGACTATTCTTACCCAAGGTACTTGCCTGTGTATCCAATGAGAGGATAATGCCTCACATGAAGTATGCACTTTCTTCGCACGAACACCATTTGCATTAATAATGTCGTTACTAAGTGTCGCATGTGCTGACTATAAACTGTAGTCGTTCTTAGTCGCCTTAGCAACTGACGCATATCTCTCGCTACTTGCTAAGCCCAGTGATGGATGCCACCAAAAACGAGAAGAATCAATCATCTCCTGGGCTAATACGATTATAAAAGATTTTAAATGCATAGGCAACCCAGCGATGTATGGGCTTAGACGGTGGAAAATGGAATGGCTTCTCTTGCTTTTAGACATGGCATGAGATCTTGAAATCTTATGTGATGGAGCCAAGCAAATCGCCAGAATTCTATTAAAAGAAAAAGACCTGGAAATTCCTTTTTTTGGAAAACAACTCATTCTCTGATTTTTCATGGTTACGTTCTTGAATAGACTCGAAGTGCAGCAGCCCGAGTCTGAACCTCATAATTCCTTTTATTTCGAAATAAATAAATAAGCACCGCTAAATAGAAAAGCCTAAATATAAAACGTATTCGATTGCAAAAATTGATTCATGCATTTGTTTAAAAATTTTTTTTCCCCAGACCTTATAATTAATTCAGCACTGCTGATTTCTTTCAGAATTTGGATCTATTCTTTATGAATATTGAATGACAGGCTCCAGCGAAAAAATTTAGAACCTTCGGGAACCTCGGAGCCACAATATTTTAAAAGGCTATGTCGCCCAAATATATGCTTCGGTGCCCGCTAGCAGAAGAAATCGGAAATATGAGCCCTCATTCTCTGCTATTGTCTAACCTTGTAATACACTTAAACACAAGCGAATGCACTAAAAACATACATCTAAGGATGAAAATTGAAAATATTTGTCAAAAATATAACATGAAAAAAGCGCACTTTTAAAATGTGGCAAATAATAATTAAGAATAATTAAGAATTTTTATTTCATAAAAGAGTAAATTTTTTCAAAGATTTTATTTTCTTGGATTGCGAAAAGGTTTAAGAAAACAAGGAATTAGCTTATAAGTTTATTTTACCAAACATTAAACAATTTTAGAGGTTGGTTGATCGTTTTGCTCAAATTTTCTGCGACAGCACTGTTTTAAGACGAATTTATTGACTGTAATTTCATGGAATACTAAGGATCTACTTGTACTTCTATTATTCTCCGATGAAAGGTTTCACCTTAGTCAATGGAGGGAACCAGCCAAACTAGAAATCACCATTGAATACTACTGAAATTATTATAAAAGATATTGACTATGGTTTTATAAATTCAAGAATTGCATGTCGACAATAACAATTCATAAAATGAAACATTTCTAACGAAAACAAGGAATAAAATAGATCGGATCGATCTAAGATCTAAAATTTAGTTTCTGAAATTCGTATAACCAACTAAGGTTTCCATGCATCGTGTTGAATTCGCCTGAAATAAATAACTTTAGTCTCTTTTAATAGTTAAATCATGAAATTGATTTCTAACTTATTAATTTAATTCTGTTTTTCTAAATGCTTTGCTAGAGAAATTTCGGAACATAAAATTTTTCAATTTATTATAAAATATTACGTGAAATTTTTACCATAAAAGAAATAATTCTCTTTTTATTCGTTAAAAGATAAAGTAGATGCTCAATAATATTCACAATTTTACCGACTAACTCGATATTCTTTGTCGTCATTTCGAGGATAGGGAGGTCCCCCAGTTATATCGAGTTGTTCATCGAGACCGTGAATTCCAACAAAGATTTTGTACAGAATTGCACCAATTGGTGCTCCAATTAGTGGAGCAACTACTGGAATCCAGAAATAATAGTAACGATATCTGAAATTTATTCTATCTTTAAATTTAAAATTATTAAATCTTTTCTATTACAAGAGGGAATATTTTGAAATAAAAAAATTTTCTACAAAAAAAACTATAAAACTTCATTTTAAATGCATTTTAATTTTACTGGACTTAATTTTAATTTCACTTGTGATAAATAGTTCAAGAGGACCATTTCAAAGGCCGTAAAATCCCACTAACTGAGATGGTTTGTGTGGATCATAATTTTTTTCCTTTTGCAAGCTCTAGAAAATACTTTTATCATAGATCTTATCAAAGACGATAGAAATTGAAAAATAAAAAAAAATGAGAAAATTACAAAACTCTGCTAAAAATGCTCACGAAAAAAGTTGCCATCCATAACCAATGATCAATAGAAAAACTCTTGGACCAAAATCTCGAGCTGGATTAATTGCGAAACCACAATTGGCACCAAAAGTCATCGCTATCATGCTCATTACACCACCGATTAAAATTGGTTGTATTGATTTGGAAATTCTCTGCCGTCTATCCGTAATTAAATAGATCATTCCCGAAAGTATTATTGTGCCAACGATCTAAATAAAGTTGGAATTTTCTTGCACGAAAAAGTTATCCACAAAGATTTCTATAGTAGGGGGTCTATCACTTCAGTTGTTTTTAATAAATCCAAGTCAGTTTTAATTTAGACTGCGATTAGGATATGACTTAGTTCAGCTCAACCCTTATTATTATCATTCCATAAAGGATGTAAAAGACTGGAACACGAAAGAACCTGATCAATGATGCTTCCAAAATAAGACATTTGTGCTGCCGGAAAAGTAGTAAAAAGACCAGCTATCGTTATTTCATCATCGTTATGTCTGCGCAGATACGATGCGATATTATCTACAAACTACTGAAATATTAAAAATTGTTATTGAAATATTTATTCAAGCAAAAGGCAGTATAAGTGGATAATTTTAAAAAAAGCAAATATTATAGACTAGATTTTAAAGCAAAATTTTAAAAATGACCGAGATGAGTGAGGTAGGCGAACGCTGCACCAATAAAAGCGCCAATAAACTGAACGGGCAAATATAGGAGAAATTGAAGCAACGATATGTCACCGAACATCAAAGCTGTTAGTGAAATCGCTGGATTAATATGCCCTCCTAAATTTTGGAACTATTTTAAAAAAGATGGATCCATAGGTCGATAGTGTCCATGGTTTTTTCTATCATTATTTCCACTTTATTATTTGTTAACCAAACCTAGCCTTGATGATTTCAAGGATATACAGAATTTCTCGACACAGTGAAAAAAATAGCCAGTAAACCAATGAAAATGACTAAATATGAGATAATATGCAAGACAATTTGTAAAAGTATAGCTGGAACTAATTAAATCAAGTTAATTTTTCTGGTTCCAGAGCCAATGATTGTTTGTATCACTTAGTTTCACCTGAAGCCGTAGTAGCTAGGTAAATAGCGAAAGCAAATCCAATTCCCCATGCAATTTGAGCACTCGTCTTGTCCCCATCATTAAGCGTAAACTGCACGTTTGCTGACGTTCCAATGAACTTCGAATTGAAATTGAAATTGTATCTTCATTAAAAGATTAAATCAAGCTAAATTTTTTATTATTTCTTATAACCTTATTTAAATATTACCCAAAAGCGTTAAGGATCATGTTATAACATAATTTTATGAAACAACTAGTTGGGTCCGCTTCCATTTGTTTCGTCCTGTGCAACCACAAAAAGCCTCCATTTTCCGTTGCCCTAATAGTCTTACAATGATGATAAGAAACTTGAATTAAGCCATTTCTCTCCTCTGAGATGATTTTCTCAAAATCTCCTAGAATAATGCTTGGAAATTTATAATCTATAAATTTATATTATGAAAATCAATTACCACGAAGAAAAATGTACCGATGAATTCAGCGAGGCATTCTCGTATAATCGTATTTTCAATTCGTATACGTTCAACGAAAGTCTCTCTCCACGTTTCCATCATTTTTCCTTGCAATCCAGTTTTACTAAAAAGGTTGAAAAATTCCATTTGAATAAACAGTTATTTTTTATTTCAGACGAAGATGGAAAAAAATTAAAAATTTTTGTTGACAAATTGGAAAAACTTTCCTATATTAATTATTTTCTGTTGGATTAAATTTTTAAATCAAATTTCTTCATTAAAGCCGAATATTTTCGACATTTTAAACTTCAAATCATTATTTATAAAAGTTTAATAATAGAAAGCATCGTTTCGTCCGTAAGGATAGCAGTAGATTGGCGGATTAAGTTCAGTAAGTTCAGCTTTCGTTTCATGGAAGGGTCACCGATTTTCGCTCAGGAGCGAATCCAATCGCTGAAATCCTTTCATTTGCCGGTTACGAGAGAAAAAAGTACGAAATTGAAATTCAAAAATAATCATCAATTTGAAACATATTTCCACGACTATTCCTATCATCCGTCGTTCATCAAAATGAAAAATCGAAATAATGAAGTTTCACTTCAATCGAAGCAACGCAAAGAGAGAATGGAACAGCTACGGGCAACCATCAGTAAGACTGCAGTAAAACTATCTCTAATATACCCAAATTTGTTCCTCATTTCTGTTTCACTGCCACCTTATGAATGATGAAGAAATCGAATACTGTAAGAAATTTTGGCTTTAGCGGATGCGAGAAACCGCCCAAGAATCGATTACATGAGTTAAACATTGGTAAGATTAAGAATATATTTTCATGTTTATGTTTTTACTCAGTGCAAAACAAAACTGGAAAACTTAAATAATGCAGTAAAAATATATAACGAATATAAGCGCACAGTAGCGCTAAATGAAATAAAGCTTTTAGACAAATAGTTTCGCAAAGGTAAATCCGATTATTTCCCCAATTTTATTTTCTATGAACGAAGTTGGTAATCGAATATTAATGAGAATAGTGATTGATATCTTGATTATCACTAATTTTATTCAACAATGCGATTCATATCACTAATATAATCAAATCACTAACTTTATTCAACAATGCGATTCATATCACTAATATAATCAAATTATATAGATATTTTTAGGAAAATTCTGCTGAGAAATTGCTGTTCTAGCTCAGAATTATCCATTAAAATAACCTAAATGCGTTTACCTTTTGTGATTTAGTGGAACTCTACCGGCTATGGAGATGAGATTTCGCTTCGGTAGATTTTCGGGTAGCTTCGCTAAGTATTATATAATGGATAGAAATATAAATGCACCTCTAGCATGTTTATCTTCATTTCGACAGATTTACTTCACTCGAGATTAAACCTATCGTTTAAGCTCAGTTGAAACTATTACTCAATCGCGTTCAAACCCAGCAAAATAGCTAATTATCAAAATAACCTTGCTAATTCTGAGAAATATGTGATAGCTTTCTTGTCTAAAATCTGATATTTTTCAGGATTAAGACTTTGATATCTCTCCTGAACAACGCTTATTGATGCTCTTGCATTATTACAAGTATGAATAATTCAAAAATAAAACACTACTAATCTTGTACCATTTTAAACTTTAATGAATATTCAATCAATTAACCAATTTGATAGAATGTGACGAACGGTATTTCGTTATATTATTGAAAATCCAATAAAAAATTTTGTTGCTTATCAACAATGTTATCAGTAGACAAAACAATCAAAATTATTAAACAACCATGGAAAGTTTTGTGAAATGTGATTACTGCTTTAGCATCAATTTTTTTTCCAGATGATTCATTTGGAAATGAATATTTTTTCCTTTTCGAAGCAAAAATTTATTAGAATAAAAGTTTGTACAGTTCCATACAAATTGCTTTCTTGATGATCGTTAATCTGCCGAGTCGAATTCTCGTTTCTCCTAAGATTCCCAGGTAAAAATCTTGTAAAGTCGTCATTCCTAGGAAATTTCTTTGTTTCGTTAATTCGTGAGAAAGAATGTTTTTTAAACTCTTCTTTCCTACATTTTTTATTAAAAGCACAAATCATCATTTCGTGGAATTATGTTTTTGTTTTTTTGTCCAACAATCAGAAAGGCATTAGAAAAGCTTTGGTTTACAAGAAATTCTTAAAAAAAGAAATGGCAGAATAAAGAATGTTTGAGCTGGAAACATTTAACAGGACCCTTCTGAGCATAAAATTCCAAAACGATCATGCATTCTTGGAAGGTAATCAGAAGCAATTTCTACATCAAGCCAACCGTTGCCTTCTACTTTAGCTTTTATCTCTTTGGCTGGAATCCATTCGTTGTTCATTTCTTTCCAAGTTTTAAAAACCCAATGTTTTTGATTACATTCCTTGCCTTGCACCTACAATTTAAAATAATTTGTGTTCAAACTACACGTTATTTTGGTTGGGATTAAAGAATTTCTGCAACTTACTATTTATTTTTTCGAAGAAATACATCAGATATATCAAAGGTTAAATATTTCTGCCCAAATTTATGGATTTTCAGATAACTTAAAACAATTAGGAAATCTGCTATCACGAGAATTTCCCAAGAAGACTTGGCTTCAATATTTTATTGAAGGAAATTCTGTTCGATTCATTAAAAATAATGATTGAGAAAATATCAGAGACCAACTATTTCAAATTTCTAGCCCGATTTTTGTTTTCTTATTATATGTTTTGTTTGGCTTTAATACTTTTTTTTCCTATGAACGTATAAACTGCAATAATTTTCTGAGGAATTTTAAAATATATAAACTTTCTCTGGGACAAAATTGAGGAATTTGAAAACGTAAAAATTCGGCTTTTCACTAACCGTGACAGTTCGAAGTTGGCCTTCACTAGCGAATGTGATCCGTTCAGTTTTCATTTTTATTGCTGGTACAAATAATTGCAACTGGAAAGGATGAGGTGTTTTTGATCGAAATTTTACTTGTATTTTGCAAGCTGATGAGATCGTAAGAAGAAGGAAACATGAAATAAGTGCCACCTGTTTCATTTCAAATTTTCTCTTGGTTATTTTCGCTTGAATTTTACGAATCTATAATGCCGATTTTCGTTATACAGGGCAGTTTCTCTTAATATTTATCAATATTTATCAATCTATTCTGATTCTTAACCCGGATTTCAACATTTATTTATCACTGAATTTTCTTGATAACTGAAATTTTTCGCATTATATCACCAAAATTTTCTCAATAGCTAATTAAACTTATTATATAATGAATTAGTGTAAAACGATAAAGATGTCTTTAAATACAAATTCATTGAATTCGTTATTTGCTGATTAAAACCAATCGAATAATTCGAGTTCAAATAGAATTACTAAATTGGTATAAATATTAGCGAAGATCTGTTTTCTTCTTATAGCATTTATCACCCCACTCACATGATTTTGCTGGTTCTGCTGGCTATTAAGATAAGGCTCTTTACTTCAGAGTCCCAAAGAAATAATCATTTTTAACCTCATTTTTAACCTCATAACCCCATTTTTCATTCATACAGATAGGCAAGTTAATTCTAGACAAAGCATATATGAGATATTTATAAAAATTAAGCGTAGGAAATAAAACACGAGAAAATGATAAAAATAAGTCTGAAATGAAGTTCACTGATAAAAGATATAAGGCAAAAATCATCGTTATAGGATGTTTATATACCTTTTCTCAAAAATTTAAAAATTTAGATCGAGAAATGGGGTTAATAAAATGGAACAATATAATTTTTATTATAATCGACCTTCATTTATTTAATAGATAATTAATTCGTCGCTACTTTTGTTTTGTCCAATATCTTCAACTGTTATTTGTAAAAACGATGCTTGAAACTTAATCAGCCACAAACTTTCACCTCGACTGAATTAAAAATTTATTGTGGCACATTCCCACATACAATCAAAACCTCGATTGAGCCATAGAAATCGATGATCACATTCCGAAAGCTTTAAATTGTTCTCTAATAGCGACAAAATCACAAGCATTTAGAGAGATGTAATAGTTTTGAAGCAACAAAAACCATCAGCCATATTACGCCATTAATATAATTTCAAAAGATTTAAGCCAACCGCAGATCGTCCAGGTTAAGATCGGAAGCCAGCAGCAAAACTCATATTTTCCCATTCCTCCATTTCATTCTTTATTTTGCCAAGGAGTTATTTAGCGATAGAATTATAAAACCGCCATATTATCCGATTTTTGAAAGTCTTTTAAAGAATGGTTTGGTGGAAGTGGAAACCCACATCAGCGTACATCCAAAATGAGAGCAGTGCGGAACCATTCTACCACTCACTCACTTTATTCTCAATTTTTCCTCTCGTCTTTTAAAAAAATGCAAATATATATATATATACTAATATATACTAATATAGTATATATGGAGAATTGAAGATATATTTTGGTACATCCACATATATAACCAAAATATTCCATGGTGCATTAAGCTTGCTTGAATATACTATTTTTCTAATCTTTTTCGGGTGATAAATGCATTGACACGAAAAAACTCAAATCTGTGAACGAATAACTTTTATGACAATCTACAGCATAACCAGGTTGAAAACCACTTTTGTTTTCTTCATTAACATTAAATGGTGGTAAATCAGAACATTATTTCACCAGAATGATTATCACTCAGCCGTTCTTTTCCTAAATTTTGCTTGTCTTTTCTCCTTTCCTTTTTTAATTAAATTAAATTAATTACGTTCCAATGTTACATTCCTCTTAAATGAAATTTTTTTTTATTGTCGTAAGGTTATAGTTAACTGATAATATTTTTTATTCACTGGTATGATAGCTTTAATTTCTTAATATCATGCAATAATCTTCGTAATTCTCTCTATTCTAAAAAAATAAAAACACATTTTATTCAGAAATAAAAGTGAAGCTACAGAGCAATATTATATCGAAGATAGTTCAGAAATAAGCACCATAATAACAGAAATTACACCAAATATTTATTTGATATCTTAATAAAATATATAATACAATTAATACTTTAAGAAATGGATGCGAAGAAAGACCAAGAAAAAATTCATATGAATCATTAAAATTAGCCGAAAAATCAGAGGCATCAACAATTATAGTTTAATTTAATTTAGTAATCGAGAAAAAATCAGAAGAACCAAAATCTAACAATAAATAAGGGAACTAATACGAAAATATCAACAGTTTTAAATGTTCAAAATATAAATACATAAGCAAGAATTTCAAAAGCAAAAAAAATAATTTAATAAGTCGAATAAAATTTAACAAATATTTCACTAAATCCAAATAGGAGATCAACTAATCAACTTTGTCATTGATAAATTCCCGACCTAACTGAATATCAATAAAAGTAAAACAATAGATGAGATCAACAAGAAGTTTAATAGCGAAGAAGTGAAAAGTAGAAGACGATTCCAAAATCCCTCTCAATTCATACCTCTAAATTTTTAGTCTAAATAAATTTTGGTTAAGAATGGGAATACAAAACAGTTCCATGCGAAAAATTGTTTGTTATCTCGATCTGACATGCTAATTTTATAGGAAATTAATAAATTTCTTGAAATTTAAAACATGAAAGCGAAAACTACTACTCCCAATGTTTCTGCAACCAACGAAACTGGTGCATTGATATTTACAACATAGTAAAAATTTAACAATTATAAGCATAAATATCATTTGAAATAAACTGCAGTCAAGTTGCAAAACTATTTCCATAAAATTCAGTCCAGAAATTAATTAAGATAAGCCAAAAGATGTATTTTTCAATGATGGATTGGAAATCGGCCATATCGACTTTATTTTATTACTCTAATTGGCTATTACCTTCCATGAAAAATCCGTTTACTTTGGAAGGATATAAATTGAAGCACATGACTATGCCAAATAGGTTACCACTACTGATTGATTTGAACTTTAAAATTCACGTATATAACGATCGATTGATATGTTATTCCAAATAAGGTTGAATTACCATAGGTTCTATTTCTGTCTCTTTGACTGGAATAAATCTCATTAAAATACGGTTTGGGGAACCGATGTATTTCTGTAACCCTCTGGTGAAAGGATCGAATTTTAAAAGACGGTAAAGTCAACCAAGCCAGAAATGGTAAAGAAACAACTCGTAAGCGACTGGATATCATCTAAATATCCAGTTTATTAAATAAAGGGAAATAGAAAGAAACAGGAAAGTAGAAAAGAATCAAATTGAATCTAGAAAGTAAGAGAAACTAAAGGAAGCTCAAGAAAAAAGGAAAATAAAATGGCAGTGCTTACAAAGGAACTTTGTGAGACATCCTATTTGATATATAAGTTTGGATGCCAAATATTAATGGAAACAATTAGTAATCATTTAGATGGACCGGCGCCTGTAAGGGATAAATCGATCAAAGTATGAGTATAGGTCGACGGTTGGAAAACCATTTCGATAAGATCACTTTCTACCTTCTTTTGACCATATCGGTTTTTCAAAATCTATAAATGGCGAAATTATCAAAATCAATTATCAAATATTATTTATGAACATCGATTCCTTTTTGAACAAACCAATTTTATAAAATTTAATTTGCCAAAAAAAGATAAATTGCCGCTAGCTGGTATTATCTTTAGTATTATTATTATTTTCTTTTATTTTCAATGAAAATATTTCAGGAGGGATTTTAGGTACAAAAAATTGTAAAACAAACATATAAAAATTTTCGGTATTTACGATCTTCATCACGACGGCGCTGAATAGCGAAAACATTGTCAGCTTCTTGTGTTACACGTGCTGAACCACCAAAATGTTGGATATCCAAATCAGTATCTGACTAAAGCAAGACATTTAAAAACATTTAGAAATGTTCTCTATATCATACATCTATCGAAAAAAAACATGAAAAAAGTTGTTTTAATGAAACGAATTTTTTTGACCAGTGGATTTCGTGGATTTTCTCAATTCAGACCAAACAAAAATTTTACCATAAACTAAATTTTACTAAAACTCATCAGTGAGCACCATGTGTTAAAAGAATAAATAAATAAAAAACAAGAAAATTAACATCTGTTTTGCGAGGATGAACAACAATAGTAACATGAGGTCCATAATCAGTTGCAATACCACGAAGTAAGCCGACAAACCGATCCTGTAAATTACCATTTTTAATTATCAAATTGTTAAAATTTCAATTAAAAATTAGATGTGGAACAATCAGTGGAACAATCATCTAAATTTCTCAAGGGATAGAAGTGAATTATGATAAGAAAATAATTTATCGCTGAAATTTTTAAATTATTGAATTATTTTAGTAATACGAATTAATGCTAACTTGTTGATTATACTTTTCTAAAGCATTGGTTTTCTCAACGTTCATAGTTGCTAATCCAATTAGAAATTGTAAGTTATCAATAACAAGATGCTGTATACCACTGGCTATCACTTGACTCCTTATTGCCTGAAAAAATGAATTATTTAAAAAAATTGAACAATATTTCCAAAAACTATAAATATTTCACTATTGCATTACATTATATCTTAAAAATCTGCGGAAATCATGGTCTTTTCAACTTACATTAGATATCTGAGTGATATTCTTATCACGAAATTCATCGATTTTCATAATAACCAAATCACCTTTCGTTCTCTCGAATCTATCCAACCACATTTCAACTGATGGATGATGTTCAACGCGATACAATGGCACTCTGCAAATTATAAAACTGATGCCACCTTCATTTCTCATTATATTTGTATTTTCTACTTTTCTTTTCAGGTCTTTTCTTTTCTAGCAATGGTTTATATTTTCATATCGTAGGAATTCTGAATTATTTCAATGATATGACCTGAAAATTAGTAGAAAACAAGAAATAACAAGGTAAAAGTAGTGAAATTAAAATTATAAACGAGTATCAAAATATAAAAAAAAAAATGTGCAAAACACAAAAAGAGGAAAAAAAATCACCACTTCAAGATTATATCCCTTATTACATGGAATTTTTTTCAGCTGTCTCCTCACGTCTCAAAGCATAATTTTTAATAAATAGGTAAGATATGGCATATGGTGCTCTAAGCTAATAGATTAAAAAGAGAAAAATAATGAGCTAAAAAACTAAAAAAACGAGAACATAAAATGCATATGTGCATGTACATGCAGAATAGAAGGAATGAACAACTAAACCACACAAGCATATACATATGCATTTGACGTTCATTTAATAAATTTGAATTTTGAATTTGCACAATTAGTTTTTTGCAGATACACAATATCGCAAAATCATCAACTTCGAAATAATCGGCCAAAACTGAGTTCAAGAAATCTCCTTCTTATACTCTCCCCGAACCCCAATATGAACTCAGCAATAACGCTGTTGATGATCAAACGCCTTTGAAGATAAATTCGAAATATTTTATCAGTAATGAATGTCAAATGACGAAATATCTAGATGCTCACTTAATTCCATTGTGATAACTCCGTGAACGAGCGATACTTCGCAAATGAAGAGGTCTGCATTTTTATAAATAATATTAATATAATTTTACAAAATATAATTTTAATATTGCATTTAGTAAAATATAAAATAATAGAAAAATATTGAAACCATAATTTGTTAATTTTATAAAGAAAATATTTAATATATTCTCTAAATAAATAAAAATTTCCTCTAAGATCGATCCTGATTTTTAACTATAAATAAATGCATTTTTTCTTTTCCTACATCAAATAATAAATAATAGAAAATAATAGAACTAAAACTTACGCCGCATATTGTACTAGCATCCATTTCAATATTTTCTCATCTGGCATCTCAAAACTGCAGAATAATGTACGGACCTAAACGATGAATAATATCATGAAAATATGCAATAGTTTAAATTTTTCAATCACTTTTGAACAATTTAAATAAAGGATTTCCAAGAATATGATGATGATCATGTTATCACTATTATGATATCATTATATGATCATGTAATAAAATATAATAAAATATCTAACTCCCTGTGAAAGAAGATCGAGTGAATATTCGCATAAAAATGTTGTTTTACCATATCCCGTACCACCGGTCAAAACAGTCATTTCAGATGGCCGAAAGCCAATCATATATTTATTTAGTACATCGAAACGCTTCCACTGTAAATAATTTATACAGTTTTAATCTAAATAATTTTGCATTCAAGATGAATTATGAGTTATCTACATGAAACCGAAAATCGAAAATAATCCGAAATCATGAAAAATAATGGATATGAAGGTGAATCAATATAAAAAAGGCTAGATTTCAAGAAAAATATTAGAAAAGATTAATGTATAACTTGTGCTAAGCCGAATAATTTGCTCCGACTATTAATAATTTCCGATTTCAAATCGCTTCGAACATCAATCATCGAACGAAAACCTTTACTTCTCAATAATACTGCTTCTTCACGAATTGCTTTATTCACTTCACGTCTTAATTCATTTCGCAGCAATTCGATTGGTCGTTCTTTGCGACTAAATAATGGTTAATTTGTAAAAGTCCAAGTATATAATAAATCCTGATTGGTTTATTAGCTTTATAAAAAAAATTAAAAAAAAAAGATTTCGTTTAATAGCTTAATAAAAAATGATACTTGACAATAAAACATCGGTTGGCATTCAGATATGCTGCATAATCCTTGGCGTAGTGATCATGGATATATGGAAACCAAATATAAATTGTATCAAAATCTTCGAAATAAGGCAAGATGCTATAAATGTAAAAAAATTTAATGAAGTAATTAGTTCAATTTTTATCAATGCTTTGATAAAAATTAGATAGAAGCTTTTTCTAAGAAGCAAGAAACAAAAGGGCGTTCTTTTTTGGGATTTCGAAATATTTACCAAATGTATTTTCCAAAAATTTTTTGAAAATTCAGGAATGAAAGTTGCTTGAATATAGTACCTTGTATCTAAACGCTCGCCCATAGGTAAAGCAAGCGAAAGTAATCCATTTGTAGCTTCAAATACTGCTAATGCATCTCTTTCATTTGTCGTTATAATAACACGACGATCAGAAGCTGTTACCAAATTAAAACCGAAAATACCAGAAAACAGAGGTTTTCTGCAATAAAATATTAAATATAACTAAAATTAAAAGAATTCATTTGAAGAATTTGAATTTCTATGAAGAAAAAAAAAGTTAAAGAAATAGCAAAAACATACCCATTGTCATCAGGCTGCGGGTAATTCTCTTTTTCAAGCCGATCGCCGAATTTGCGGATTACTTTTAAACCAGCGGGAATTCGTGCTCGACTTGATGGTCCTGTGCATACAATTTGAAATCATGAAAAATCAGGGCTTAATTTGAAAATATCCTCAGGGTAAATAAAATATAGGATAAATCAAAAAGGACATAGAAAAAATCCAGAAAAGAGAATTCATATAATTATCGTTAAAATAAATTGGAGTTTCTGATTAGCAAATTACACACCTCGATATCTCGGATATAGCAATGCAGGCCTATCAAAAGAATCCATATGGCCTCTGACATGATAACGAGATAACGTATCTAGTGACACATGCTAAAATTCATACAACAGTTCTGAATAATTTTAACAAAAATTTCACGAATAAACGATGGGGAATCCAGAGAAGTCCTGTTTAACATTAAAATTTAACCTTAATAAGAAGTCAAACGAACTTCAGACTACAGAATTTTATTAAAAGTTTTGAAAATCTACTTAGCTCAACTCAGAAATAGAAATACAAAAAATACTTCACAGGCAAGTAAAATAGCCGAGTAAATAGTGGTGATCGTATTAAGAGACAATGGTTGAATTCTTAATAAAAGTAAATCTGTCATAGAAAATCTGGACGATGATTTATCAGTTTTTCTGAGTGACTTCACAATAAAAATTTTAATCAAACTAAAAGCCAATGGAACCAACCTAATCAGAAATGTTGGTCGCTTACCACTTACTTAATTCTATGTTCCAGCAGGCAAACCCAAAACTATAGAATTTAAGTTAAACTAAGCACTAACATCGACACCGAGCTGTTTACGAAGTGTCAAATACTCGCTTTGTTCAGTTAAATCACGCACATCACGAAAATCAACTGAATCTGTCCACAGTAAACGAATTGTTGTGTCGCTCATTGCTAAATTTTTATATAATTAAATAAATATGAAACAATCTTACAGCAAAATTTAACAATTTTAAGTCAAACACAACAACTCTCAACAATTTTCGTTGAAAAAAAAACAATATTTATCAATTTATAAATTAATAATAGAAAATATTAATGTTTATTTGAATTCTAAAATACTTGCCAAACATTTTTCGATAAATATGAATTTATCGAAAAAAAGCGAAACACTCGTAAAATATAATTTAAAAAAATCAAAAATTTATCCACTATTCTTAAATTTATTAAAATATATTTATTTCTCCACAAATTTAGTCGTTTTTTCGACCCCAGTATTTTGCTTTTTAAAAACAGTTTAAATAATTCATTCATTGGTCTTAAATAAATTTAAATCGACTTAAAAAAGGCTTAGAATCGTTAGAATAATCTCGACATATTTAGATGATTTACGCAGATTCAGATAAAGAATGATATGATTATCCCCATTTCAAGGGCGAATGTTGGTCTGATGGATGTCATTTGAACTTTTAATCAAAAAAATTCCCAATTTCCAGTGAATTTCCAATCCCCTTGCATTATCAATGAATTTTTTTTGGTGGATTTGCAATGAACAATATAAAATACAAGATTTCCAGAAAAGATTTAGGAAGATCCACATATTTCCAGTTCAATCAGAAAGCAAACTAAATAGTACCGAACGATGAATTTGCCAAGACTCCACTAGCTTCGCTTGCCGCAATCCGTTCATCTAATTCGCAATTCTTATCCGCTCTACAAAAATAAAATATATTTAAATTAATACCAATAACTTTATTTGAGAAAATGCAAAAAATAAAAAAGAGTTAATGCCATTTCCCATATTATCAGATAAAAAATTAAAATTCATTACATCCAGAAAAATTTGAATGAAAGAAGGGAGCAGTTAGAAAGAATTGATCTTCTAATAAATTACATGTTTTCAAGTTGATTTTTATTGAATCATTTGTTCTTAATCGCAGCAAATACTTATTTTGTCGTAGTTGATTCAAAAAATAAATAAAATTCTTTCCAGGATGGTAAAGGAAAGAATAATTTCCCCGAAGAGTATCATCAGCAATAAGAAAAAACTCTCAGGTAATTATCTAATTTAATAGAGGAGACCGCTATTCACTGGAGTTGACTCGACTGAAAATAAATTTTCATGAAATTTCGTTGCTTTTTCCATTGTAAACCTAATTGCTTACTTTAAGGCGGTGTAAGAAAACTTTTAAACAAGAAAAAAGTAGTTAAATCGAATTCAATGCTTGAAATATCGATGAAAATTGTTATTTAAAAAATTTTTTAAAACGAAGAAATTTTGAAAAAAATTTATAAAATTTTCCACGAGAATAAACCAAAAATTATTCGCAAATTAAATTTTCAAACGAAAAACCACCGTAAAACCCAATAATTATAAGAAAACAAACCAAGAAATGTTCAGCAAATTCATCAATTTTTCGAAAATTTCTTCTCGAGTTTTTAAGATTTACTGGAGAAAAGATTTACTGAAGAAATGAGTTAAGAAAAAACTCGGCGGTTTAAAAATGTTGTACCATGACAACTCACCACGTTTGCCTTTGAAACTAATTCACTTAACCACTAAGTACTTCTTTCAAGAAAGCGTTACCAAAGCATAAATAAATATTATCACCAATGATCGACCAATTTATCCTAATAGTCGTGAAACCAGTCAAATAACAAAATGATTTTTAAAAGGCATCCGTTCAAATCGGATGTTCTCACCAAAAAATTTCTATAATATTATGTACAATAGAGTTATCTTTGAGCGATTTAAGTTGGACAGGTTACGTTCGAAACTAAAATCCATTAATTTCCATCCTTTCCTGAATAACAAAACTATTAACTATTATTATTATTATTATTATTAGTGAATGGCTTAAATCCATAAATTTTAGCCACCAATTGCATCTGAATTGAAAAGGAATTGAAAAAACATTTTTCAATATAAATGAACCCAAATGAATAAATCAGAATTAAGTATAATTCGAAAGCAATTTATCTTAAAATCGATAAACTGTACCCAATCCACAAGAAACCACAGATCTGACGAATACTTCAATTTCAATTTATTTATTTAATTCAATTTATTTAATGGGGGATAATGGCCAAGCTATAAGCAAGCAAACAGCATTGGACTCCTGTCCATTGACCGGATAAATAAATTTTTTAGTAAAAATTTATAATATATAATGAAATTCCAAAATCCCAATGTGCCTCTACTCTTTGGCAAATAATATCTTAATAACCAGTAAAAATATGCAAACATGCAAATATGCAAAAATGATTTACAAAATATCATAATGAAATTTCACCAAAATACCATTACCTCAACCTTCTGACTACAGAATATTTAGTTGCAAGCTCATTTAAAATTTTTCAACAATGTATGTTCGAGCTGTTGTGAAGTGTCAACTATGTCAAAACGTAGAATGAGAAGGAAATAAATTATCATGAAAGCTACTTAAATGCTCCGAATACATGTTTCTTGATGCATATCAAATGAAGCATAACATTATCCATATCCATATGTGTAAACACTGAATAATAACCTCGGCAAACTCATATGAACCTAAGATTTCCATGGATATTTATTGTGATCGAAACTATCCAGAAATTCCAACAACATCGACAACCATTTTTTCTGACATTTTACAGTGATCATTGCAATATAAATTATTTAATATTACCAAGAGAATTAATAAAACCATTAAATAATTAATTTAAATGGAAAATTTCTTATAGCAGAGAAAATTTGGAAAATGAAAATTTGTGAAAATTTTACTGAATTTCAATATTTCTGTACCATAAACTTTAGGCAAATCTTGAAATCTTGAAATTCTACGAAATAAAATTTAACAGACTTCACCAAGATGGACTTTCATAACACTATGAAATATCCTGGAATAAACTTCAATTCTAAAAGTCAAAAAATTAACGCTATATTCACACTATACTATACTATATCTAACTATATTCATTTCCGCCAAACTCCTCTGCTCATCTCCATTATTTAACCCGAGGAAAACCTGAAAAATGCTAAATAATAAGAAATCCAAATTAATTTAGATATTTAATATTTAAATTAATCTTTGTAACAATCTTCTATAATCTTTATCTCCTTCTATATTTTGCTGTGAATAGCTTGTAAAATTTCCATGCGACTAAGAATAAGCAATTAGTTATCAAAAATCTGGAAAAGAGCAAAATAAATGATGAAAACCAAACATTTTTATGTTTGAATAAATTTGAAAAAAAAAAAAAATTGGCGTAGAAGTATATTTGAAGGCAATTTAGTCAAACGATTAAATAGCCCTCAAAAAAATTTTTATTGATAATCAATCAAAAATTAAGCATTTCAGTTCCAATAAGTTATCATTACTGCTTATCTCGGAATTTATCACCATTCCATTTTAAACCACATTTAAGTACTAAATCCGAATTACTATTAACATTTAAATTAATGAGAAAAGCAGTTATACAGTTTTTCAGCCCGAATTCACTGATTTCCTTTGCAAATAAAAAAATATCTTTTTCCGAAATTTTGACATAAATCTTAAAAATCTTAAAAATCACCAATCAAGGTATCTTTCATTTTTCTCTTCGTACCATATTGATTGGATAAGGACGATAAAGAAATATCCAAGAACCTAACAAACTGGAATAAACAGAGATAGCAAATATGATGCCAAAGTTAATGAACTGAAAATCGAGCAACTTACTCGTCTCGCAGACGACGAATATTTTCCATTTCTTCAATTTTTCGTTGTCGTTCTCTTTCTTCATACTTTGACATTAAATTCAAATAACTAACTCTATCGTAAAGATCAGAATCAAGCTAAAATTGCAGTTTTATCGAAATAAAAATTTTATAAAGATAAAAGAGATAAAAGAGAGAAAAAATAAACTGCAATATCTTAAAAATATCATGTTGAATACAAAAAAATAAATAATGCATCAAATTTTGTACCTCATCCATACCACCGGCTGGTATATCCGTATCATTCATTTTATCGGATGGTAAATCAAATTGATAATGTTTTGATTCGTGGTTGATCCGAACAACTGTATTTAACTGTTTCTTATCTAATGCTTGTCGTTTAATTTCTTGATTCGATTTCTGAAAAAGATTTTTTCTTGATAAGTTGCACGATTACCCAATATACCAATTTACCAACACGATTACCAAAAAATTATATTTCAAATAAATTCCAGAATTTAAAAAATTTTAAAGAAAATAATGTTCTCCTGCAAAAGAAATACTATGACGACTGAAAAACAAAACCAATAAAAACCAAAAATATTAAGTTATAATTTTTGGCAAATCAAAAAAAGCGGAACGTCGATTAATGGCAATAGGCCTGAATTTCGGGATAAGCTACTGCGCTAGCCTATATTAATAGTGTATCTCGAATAGCGCCTTACAGAACAAAAAATATTGTTCTGCAAGAAAAAAATTTGTAGAATCAAGCTCTGAAATTTTACAACAATTGACAGTTCCATCTGACCTGGTGCATGTTGTCGAAAATTTTCTATTTTCTCTGTCCCTTTCCACTCTTTTCTCGCCTATAAATCCACATATTCTCGTTCCGTTTCCCTCCCTACTATTAAGCCATATTTCTAACAATAAGTTCCAAAAAATAGAGAGGCGTTGGAACCACCAAAGGATTGCAGATCTATGAGAGGATCGTACTAAATTACGAGGCAATAGAAGAATGCAAAAATCTTCTATTTTGTAATGTTACAATCCATTTATTAAAATTCTAATTGAAAATCCCATAACAAAGAGGAATAATTGATGAAAAGGTAAAGTTAACGAAGAAAAAGGTTCATTTGTAAAGAAAAGTCGATATCTTTCGTTAAGTCGTTATATATTTAACGAATTTCCAACAAAATATACAAAAACTTGCTTCTTTTCTTCAGTCGTAACCGAACTAAAAGCTTTCGCTTTGCAGTTTTTTATGCTTTAATTTT